ACATGAATCAACATGAGGGGAGGACGGTGATAGGGCTTGAGGAGCCTGGTGAGCCTCTGAGCGATATGGTGTATTTTTGCCCCCGGTAGGCAGCATATTTCTCGAGCCATCCCATCTGGTCTGGAAATGACAGCTTCCGTTCCTCTAAGGAGGGAGTCGCCTACTACCAAGACCTGTTTACTTTCGGGAATGACAGTGCCCCTTTTGTGCAATGTAGTGTGTAGGTCTCCAGAAAAGTGATCCTGTTGGTGTGAATTGTGTAGGTGAAAAGTGTTGTCCTCCTCCTCGACATCCCCGGTGCATTCGTCAAGGACAATCCATTGAGATTCGTCCAAGAGCCTATGGTTCTCCTGTATGTGTTCCTGTTGCACCTGGTCTATGGTTGGGGATGGTACACCTGCACGATTGTGCAAGTGTGAATGTTGTGAAGTGTTGTCCCAGTCAAGGCCATCCCCTGCACACTGATCAAGGATGAGCCACTGATCAGTATCTAAGCCATTCTGGTCTTCCCCAATATGTTGTGTTTCTTGGTCAGGTGATAGTTGTGTGAGAATTTGGAATCTATTGTGTAACTGCAGCTGAGCGGAAGTATTCTGAGGAGGCTTCCGGGTCCTATGTGTCCTTCTAAGGGTGACATTTCTCCAAGCCTGAGGGTTGTCCACATCTGAGGTGCTGTTCTCTTGAGCCTCCCCGTAATGTTGGTGTGATATGGGCTGCGTGTCTAGGACAGTGTGGTGTGTGGTGTCTAAGAACAGCTCAAGTTCCTGAATGTCCTTAAGGGTCATAATACGGTCCTCGAGTTGTCGGATCCTGTGTTCCATGCGAGTGATCTGTTTACACTTGGGGCAGATGTAATTGAGTAATTGTAGTGTGAAAAAGCTGAAAATGCCACAGCTTGTGCATGAGACGGGAAGTTTTCGTGTTTGTTCCATCTGGAAGTTGCTAATTACCTCCTCTTGGTGTGTGTTTTATGTTGTTGTCTGTATGCAGGGGTGAAAGTATAGGTTACTNTGCTAATGACCTCCTCTTGGTGTGTGTTTGATGTTGTTGTCTGTATGCAGGGGTGAAAGTATAGGTTACTGACGGCGCGCGCGACGCTGATTTATATAGGATAACCAGGAAGCCCCGCCTCTCAAACAAATCAGTTAATTTTTAAACTCAGGAAGCCCCGCCTCTCAAACAAAACAGCACTGAAAGCAGTTAAATTTAAACAAAGCTTATCCTGAAGCAGAAGGAAACAAAATGGATTCCTGCTTCCTCAACTTCTGTGGAAAGCCCAGCTGCCCCTTGGGTTCAGATGCTGGTTTATATAGGATAACCAGGAAACCCCGCCTCTCAAACAAATCAGTTAATTTTTAAACTCAGGAAGCCCCGCCTCTCAAACAAAGCAGTTAATTTTTAAACTCAGGAAGCCCCGCCTCTCAAACAAAGCAGCACTGAAAGCAGTTAAATTTAAACAAAGCTTATCCTGAAGCAGAAGGAAACAAAATGGATTCCTGCTTCCTCAACTTCTGTGGAAAGCCCAGCTATATTTGTAGAATGAATGGTGTCTTCCTGCCTGGCAGAATGGGGTTGGAATTGGATGGCCATCTGCTGGGAGGGCTTGAATGGGGTCTTCCTGCATGACATGAATAGGGGGTTCTGTATTCTGAGCCTGGGTTATCAATGGATCTGCTCTGAGTTTGATTGCTTTTGCTTCTGCAGAGTTTCCTTTCTCCCGAATCCATCCCATCGGCGGTAGATTAGTCGGGTCTGGAGAGATATTTTAAGACAGGCCTGTGGGGATTAGGGCTTTTCCTCCAGCTCCTGAACAGGGAGCCTCCTGGCCATGCACGTGCACTCCTTCCCTCCCCTCCTGAGGCTTAAGTTGGACGTCTTTCTGAGGGGGGAGGGAGGAGGGAGGGGAAGTGTTTTTTTGGGGTTTTTGTGAGTGGATAACATAGCTTGCTTGAGATAGTGTCTAGTGTCCAAATTTGGTGTCAATTCCCCCAGTGGTTTTTGAGTTCTGATGGTATCACAAACGAACATTACATTTTTATTTATATAGATTGTTATTATTATTAATATTATATTGAATTACATTATAATATTAGGTATTAGCACCCCTTTGTAGATTGAAAGTCACTTATTAAAAGTTACTTTGGTACTTTCATTTTTGGACACCTCCAATCCCACCCCTAATAAAAAGAAGACATGGTTTGATTCCCAGCTTACATCACTCCTGCCTCCTCCAATCAGAGTGAGCTGGCTTGGACCCGCCTCCTGACCAATCAGAGTCCTGGAGACTTCTTGGCTCTGGCCAATCCAGGGAAAGGGAGGGAATTTCAAAAAAGAAACAATGTCAGTGAATGCAAACTTATGTGTACCCTTCAAGCATCTATGCTGAACAAGTGTCCCTTTTGCGCAAATTGAATAAAGACTCTGTTGTTTGCCTTCAACCTGGCAAGATTCTCAGTTCCTGATTCCTGATTTGTGCTATCCATGGTTAGCAAAGCTTGTCAGGCATCCTTCGGTTTCCACGAGATTTAGAAAAACTCCAAATTATTGGCATTGCTTTGGGAACATTGCTTTGGGAACATCAAAGTAATTTTCTTTGACATGACATTATAGTTTTTCATATATTAGAACTACAGGCTATCCAGACTATAATAGTTTGTAGTTTTGTGAGGCCAAGGAACTCTTTGGCTGAGAATTTTAAAGGCCCCTCCTAAACACCAAATCCCAAGATTCCACCAGTGGCAGCCACTGAAGTTAAAGTGTAATGTGATAATCTCCCATTGAAGAGTAGGGGGTTGTTGAGGAAACAGTGAGGTAGAAGGCAGGCAAATGTACTTTTGTAGCAGCATGATAGGAGCAATAATATCAAGCGTACCTGTCTGAACGTATCTCCTTCTACGTCCCGCCTAGGAATTTAAGATCTTCTGGAGGGGCCCTGCTGTCGCCCCCGCCCTTGTCACGAGATTGGTGGGGATGAGGGACAGGGCCTTCTCGGTGGTGGCCCCCTGCCTGTGGAATTCACTCCCCGGGGAAATTAGATCATTGTCATCCCTCCTCTCTTTCAGAAGGAAATTAAAAACATGGATATGGGACCAGGCCTTTGGGTAATCTGGCAGACTGACAAGGACAATGACGACTAAAGCTTTGGAAATGGACTATGATAAGCGGAATGAATTTATTAATTACGGACTTGGCGAAACGATGGCCACCATGCTGGCTTTTTATTGTATTAATGTAATGTTTAACTGTTTATAATTATTGTTACTATGTATTTTATTGTGTTGAATTGTAGCCATCAAACGTATACCGGTTGGAAGCCACCCTGAGTCCCCCTCAGGGGGTTGGGAAGGGCGGGGTAGAAGTACCCGAAATAAATAAATAAATAAATAAATAAATAAATAAGAGAGATCCTTTTCAGAGAAAGAAAATTACAGCTTTATTTCCAGCTGGGACTCTGGTGAGGAGTTGTTTCCAAAAGCAAACCAGAGTGCCAGTTAAAGGCGTTGACCTTGTCTTTTATACCTCTCCAAATGCAGGCAAACAAAGAAACATGCTTCTACATACATTGACATCATTCACTGCGTCACTTTAGCATCATAGAAATATCAAAATCTAGAAATAGATTTCAATCTTAAACATTTAGTTAGTGATGCATGGATCTCATTTCACTCTTTGAAAGTGGAAAGTATATATAACAAAATCAAAAAGTGGAATTCCATGATAGTTTGGTGAGGCACCAGTACTCTTTGGCATAGAAAGCTAAAGACTTTGTGAAACTAGAACTCCGGGATTCCATAGCATTGAGCCACAGCAACAAAAGGGATGTCAAACTGCATGTAGATGCACTCTTTGCGGCAGAGGAGAGAGATCTGACCATTGGGTAATTTCTTTTTTTGTAGTTGGCCGGGAAGGAAAGCACAGTCCAGATTGGATGTCACATGCCCTGTGCCGTCACACCCATACCCTATAAAATTAAAACTAGGATGTGCTTCTCTCTTTGTCTGGGTGGACCGCGGGGGTCTTTCTTTAGAAGCTCAAAATTTCTCAGCAACTGGGCCACTTCAGGTTTGGAACATCAAACAGAATATTTATTTTCAAAGTCCTTGGCAGACTTGGCACAGCTTGAAGAAGTTACAACACAAACAGTCAATTTGGCAAACCATAGAGATTATCTTTCTTTTTCCTTCAGTTACTGAGGTAACTCTTCCCCAAATGGTAAAAAATATCCTGGGATCCTTTCACCCTAACCCTGAGCTGCTATGGTTAGAAAAAACAGGTTTTTCCCTATCGATAGCTCAAGGTTAGCTTTGGAGATGAAATAATGCTCAATAAACTACAATAACTTTTCTATATCTCAATTGCTATCTATAACTCAATTGCTCAATTACTCAATTGCTAATCTATCTATCTATCTCAATTAGCTTCTTTATCTATATAACTCAATCGTACTTACAATGATTTTTTCAGAGCTACCTGCCTGACCAACTCTACTGAAGGAGGCAGGGGAGATTCCAAAATGGAGATCTCAACCCAGGAAAGAGGCAGTCCCTAGACCCAAAAAGATACTTTTCTAAACCAATAACTGCAGAGGGCCTGCAATCTGGCTTTGCAGACTCTGATACTGTTTAACTTCCAGGGTGCTGCTGGGTCTATAGCAACCCTGGGGAAATGCAAAGGAACACTATCCCATGCAACTAAAAAGTAATGCAAACTATGCTCCTGGAAGATGGAACATGCCCCCCATCCCACCTTTCCAGGGTCAGAGGTGCATTTATTGACACTACATTGTATTAAAACTGGATAGAAACTGGTTCAGAAGTCAAAAGATAGGTTTCCAACTCTTTTATAAAAACAAAATGAATTCTAGCTACAACTGAGAAGTACAGTTAAACATGGTCTAGTGCCATTTCTCCATAAGACTATGTTTTATATTCCCCCCCGCCCCATGGATGAACATGTCTGATTTGTATTTTCATACTAACACTGTTCCATACATACAACAGGAGCTAAAGAAGCACTGAAAGCACCCTCGCTTTTCCGAATTTGGGATATTAGCCAGAAATACTTTTTCCTGGAGAACAACACACTGGTGGCAGTTCCCAAAGGTTCCAACTCAACAGGTAATATCTCCAATACTGTGCTCACTTTGGATTTCGTCACACACCTCAAAAAATTGTTGGGGGCAGTGGGATTTTTGTAGTTTCTCCACGGAGCCCGCAGGCTTCCATCTCACACTGGAAAATATTTCCTGGGTGGCTTCCACAGGACTTGGAAAACTCCAAATTGGGGCTCCATACAGGGAGAGAACCATTCTAATGTTATGGCAGCTCTGCTGGCTGCCAGTCAGCTTCTGGGTGAAATACAAAGTGCTTGTCGTTACCTATAGAGCATTAAATGGTTTGGGTCTAGGCTATTTGTCTAACTGCATCTCCCTATATAGACTAGTACAATTTAATTAGCACTTTATGGCTACTGCGGTCTATTTTAATTCACAACTACGGCCAGGCGCTGTTTACATTTTAATTGTCTAATTGTCTAGCATATATGGTTTTGTGCAATTATGTTGTATTAGTGTAATTATGTTTTACTTAAGTAGCTGTATTTCATATTACTTTAACCTTATTTCTTTTCTGGTAATTAGTTTATTACTGTCCATTTTGCATTTCTGATGTTGTGTGATTTTAAATTATGGCATTGAATGTTTGCCTTTTTATATGTATGTAAACTGCCCTGAGTCCCCTTTGGGGAGAGAGGGAGGTTTAGAAATAACTTCTCCTTCTCCTTCTCCTTGACATAAAAACACAGTATGTCACAGCAGATGAGATATATCTGCTGGATATTATTATTATTATTATTATTATTATTAGAAACACAACAAGATGAGTCCACATCGAATAAGATGAGTCCACATCAAACTCTGATGGTTGTTGTATTGCAGTGTTTCTCAACCTGCCTAATGCCGTGACCCCTTAATACAGTTCCTCATGTTGTGGTGACCCCCAACCTTAACATTAATTTAGTTGCTCCTTCACAACTCTAATTTTGCTACTGGGATGAATTATAATGTAAATATCTGAGATGTATTTTCATTCGCTGGATCACATTTGCCCACATTTGACACAAATGCCCACATTTGACTACTGGTGGGATTGAGGGGGGATTGATTTTGTCATTTGGGAGTTGTAGTTGCTGGGATTTATAGTTCACCTACAAAGAACATTCTGAACTCAACCAATGATGGAAGTGAACCAAATGTGGCACACAGGACTCCCATGACCAAAAACACTGGAAGGGTTTCGTGGGCATTGACCTTGAGTTTTGGGAGTTATAGTTCACCTATCCAGAGAGCACTGTGGACTCAAACAATGATGAATCTGAACCAAACTTGCCATGAATACTTAATATGCTCAAATGTTAACACTGGTGGAGTTTGGGGAAAATAGATCTTGACATTTGGGAGTTGTAGTTGCTGGGATTTATAGTTCACCTACAATCCAAGAGCATTCTGACCCCCACCAATGATAGAATTGGGCCAAACTTCCCACACAGAACCCCCATACAACAGAAAAATACTGTGTTTTCTGATGGTCTATGAAACACTTTCCTCCTTCCCAGAGGCCGCCCTAGGTAATTTTCAATGGTAAGCAAACAGTATTTTGGCGCCCCCCCTCCCCCAAAACCAATCACTATCTATCTATCTATCTATCTATCTATCTATCTATCTATCTATCTATCTATCTATGGGGGCATGGACAAATTTTGGCCCTCCAGGTATTTAGGACTTCCTACTGGCTGTTTGGAATTGTGGGAATTGAAGTCCAAAACACATGGAGGGCTGAAGTTGGTCCATGCCAGCCATACATACACACACACACACACTAGCCATCCCCTGCCACGCGTTGCTGTGATCCAGTCTAGTGATCTTGAAAAGAAAGTAATAAGAAAGTTGGTTTCTAATATATGTAATTTCTTAATGCTTGTGGGTAAATAGTATTTCTTGTTGTTTCTTTGTCAGTGTTGATGTAGTTCCAACACAAAATACTGAAGGGATTTGGGGAAAATAGACTCTGATACTGGAGGGGTTTTGGGGAAACATGTACAATAATTTAGATTTGCAGTACCTTCAGTCACTTCCGTTCATGAAGAAACCTCCTTGCCGCCCTGAGAGGGGTGATGGCACAGCTGCCTGGAGAGGCACTTGCAATGCTGCCCCTCTTCACACAGGAGAAGAGGCCCTGTGCTCCATCGGCTCCTGGGTATGCGCTTTGCATTCTCTTCCCCCACACGCTTTGCAACTCCGGGAGAGGGACACGCGCCGGCATTACCAGGCGCACGGAAAAAGAGCCCTCATGCAGGGAGCATGCTCTCCCTCCATCCTTCCCTCACAAGTGCGCACGTTGTCCTCCTCTCCTCCTCCTCCTTGCAGGCCAAGGGAGACAACAACGCCAGTGTGCATCCTTCTCCCAGCGTTAGGAAGTGCATGGAGAAGGAGGGCGATGCAGGGCGCACATTTCCTAATGCCGAGAGAGGGATGCGCAGCGGCATTGCCGGGCACGTGGGAAAAGAGGCCTCGTGCATGCCTCTTTTGTGTTTCATCTTGGGTGCTATCTTTGAAATGTGTCATTGTGTATGTAAACAGCTATCCCATGATCCCAAACATTTTATTTATTTATTTACAGTATTTGTATACCGCTTTTCTCACCCTCAGGAGGACTCAAAGTGATTTACACACTTCTAGTTCAAAGCACTTTGGATCAGGGATACTCAACCTGTATTACATTACAAACTGCTAGACCGGCTGTTAGGTATTGTGGGAGTTGAAGTCCGAAACACCTGGAGGGCTGAAGTTTGCTCTTGCATGTGCTTGACCCAGAAGCAGATGAAGAGCCCTCCTTCCATCCAACTGCCACTGCTTTGGCCTTGGAGAAACAGGTGGCATGTGAAGCCATGGAGCCCTTCCAGACAGGCCCTATGCCGCATTATCACAGGGTGTTTACGCCCTACACCACTGGAAAAATTATACTGCCTAGCCGGTATTGCGCCACCTGACATCCACCGGGAAGTGGCGGCCAATAGTGAAAGGACCAAGGCAGAGACATCTCCAGCTCATCCCCTGTTTGGGTATCAGCCAGCACGTCAACGACTTAAATCTAGAAATAGTTTTCTAAGATCTACAGAGACACTCGCTGGAACACCTCAGCAAGCGAGAGTCCAAAAGTGGCAGCCTCAAACCCAGCACCTCAGCCCATGGCTGATACCAGATGAGAGACTCCCCCTGGGCACACAGAGGACTGGGCGACTTGGAAGGCGCTGAACAGACTGCGCTCGGACACCACGAGATGCAGAGCCAACCTTCAGAAATGGGGCCACAAAGTGGAATCCTCGACGTGCGAGTGTGGAGAGGAGCAAACCACTGACCACCTGCTGCAATGAACCCTGAGCCCTGCCACATGCACAAGGGAGGACCTTCTTGCGGCAACACCAGAGGCACTCCAAGTGGCCAGATACTGATCAAAGGACATTTAATCAACTACCATACTCACAAATTTTGTAATCTGCTTGTTTTGCTTTGTTCTGTTAGAAATGTAACATAATTTGACTGGTTGTTCTGACATGACAAATAAATAAATAAATCCCAGGTTTTCAGCTTTAAACTGGATCATATGAGTCCACTCTGCCAGATAATCCAGGATAAACAGAAAACCTGCAATCACATCCTGGGATATAGGGCCTGTCTGGACAGGCCCTTCATCCCTTCCCACACTGGCATCCCTTTGCCTTTGTGTCATGTTTTAATTAAATTATACACCTAAGGGCAGGGGAGCATTTTGTTGTTGCTTTACTCGTACAGTGACAGTGTTACACAGTTGGTGTTCTGCAACCACTGCTTCAACCATCCATGGTTTGAAAACATTTTTTTTAAAAAAAATCCCAAAGCAGTCTTTGATTTTGCCACTTTGTACTGTGGAAATATAAATATAGAGCTCCATAGTGTCTCGTCCAACAGCAGTTGGGATTGAGCCCTGGAACTGATGGAAGGATAAGTGGAAGGACAAGAGTTAGCAACCCAAAAGACACTGCTGCAAAATGTAATTGCTAAAATATCAAAGTCAAAATATTATCCAAATTTAAACTATTCGGCCAGCAATGGAAAGGAATCACACAGGATCATATTTTTGCAGTCCATTAAGTGTGTTGATGACAAATCAGATAAAGGAATACTGGGGAAATTAATATAAAGCAGTGTGTATAAAGGGACATTACATTTGGTAATCTAATGCAGGCTTTAAAAGGTTTTAAAGATCAAGTCAGGGTCTGCTGCAGTTTTTAGTTTTGGATATGTTTTTTATGGATTTTAACTGAATTTTAAAATACCAATGATATTTAATTCCATTTTAATGTTTGCATATTTGTGGATTTTAAACTGTACTGAAATGTTTTTAATCTAAGCCAACTTGAGTCTTCTTGGGGAGAGAAAAAGCAGGGTATAAATAAACATAATAATGTGTTGTGGAAGGCTTTCATGGCCAGAATCACTGAGTTGCTGTGAGTTTTCTGGGCTGTATGGCCATGTTCCAGAAGCATTCTCTCCTGACATTTTCCCCACATCTATGGCAGGCAACCTCAGAGGAACAAAAGCTGGCTACCAGTACCCTCTAAAATAACCCTCTAAAATCAGAACAATAAATAAAGAGCAACACTAAAAAAGGGGGGGAATTCCTGACATGAAGCAATCAGGGCCAGTTAACCGCTCCCAACAAAGGATTCCTGGGCAGCAACTAGCTCGGCTTCGAAGCTGCAAGGCCATTAAATACTCATCAAGATGACCAATTGCAACATTCACACTTACCTCAAGCAGACATGAGTTCTTTTTCCCACCCTGGACATTCCACAGATATACAAACCCCACTTGCCTAGTTACAAACAGACCTCACAGCCTCTTGAGGATGCCTGCCATAGATGTGGGTGAAACATCAGGTGAGAATGCTTCACCAAGCACCAAAGAGCATTCTGAACTCCACCAATAATAGAACTGAACCAAACTTGGCATACAGGACTTCCATGACTAACAGAAAATACTGGAGAGGGGGTTGGGAAAAATAGACCCTGACATTTGGGAATTGCAGTTTACCAAGCACCAAAGAACATTCTGAGCTCCACCAACAATAGAATTGAACCAAACTTGGCATATAGGACTTCCATTACCAAATACTAGAGAGGTTTGGGGGAGGCATGTACAAAAGATGACATTTGCAGTACCTTTTGACCAGGCCTCCTTGCTGCCCTGAGAGGGGTCCAGACTCAGCTGCAGGGAAGGAAAGGGAAAGCAAAAGAGCCTGGCTGGCTGCCTCCTGGCAGCACGTGGAGGGAGGACTTCCCTCTCGCCTAGTGGGCGGGGCCTGCGCTTCTCCATTAGAAGGCTGTTGAGGGCGCATGGGGCCTCCAGGAGGAGGCGTGGCCTAAGGACAAAACAGCGCCCCCTGGCAAAAAAAGTATTCCGCCACCGCTTACTTCGAGTAATGGACGGGCCGGCCCTGCTCGTGACCCACCCAGGGGTCCCGACCGCAGGTTGAGAAACCTTGTTGTATTGGATCACACGTCGGACACTTCCCAAATGTCCAGGACTGTGTGATATATCGGCAAGCAATGTGTGCAGATCCCAATAGGGTGGCCTTTTGCAGCTGGCAGATGGTAATCTTGTCAGCACTAATTGTGTTTAAGTGCAGGCCAAGGTCTTTAAGTGTACTGATCACCACTGGGACCACCTTGACTGCCTTGTGCCACAGTCCTTGCAGTTCGATCTTTAAATCCTCATATCGTGTCAGCTTTTCCATTGTTTCTCTTCAATCCTGCTGTCACCTGGGATTGCAACATCACCAATCCATACTTTATTATAATTATAATTGTTATTACAATTATATTATTATTATTATCATTATCATTATTATTACTATTACTATTATTATTATTATTATTATTATTATTATTATTATTATTATTATTTTCTGTTGTTCTAGACACTAGGAAATGGAACAATGGATTCAAGATATGATTTTGTTTCTTGTCTTTTGTTTATTTTTAGAGGAAATACTGGGTGTGGTCCCCAATCGAGGTATTACAGACACAAATATGAATATATTCCCCATTATCATGGGTCTCCAAGATGGGAAGCATGTCTTGTCCTGTGCTGAATCTGGTGGTCAGCCTCAGATAAAGATAGTGGTGAGTTGCATTTATGGTTCAAGTACCCGTTTGCTTGTCTTTCACCTACTCTTGGGTATGTCTGTTTGTACTCTGTGTTAAACACACCCCGTCATCTCCATTCCAACGTATTTCATATTCTCTTCACAAAGAAGCAATCATTCCGTCATCATGCATGTATCCAGATAACAGTCTTCTCTTTTTAACCATTCCAAGTAAGCAGGGAGGCTGGGGAAAAATGGGATATTTTTAAAACAGTTGAAAAAATAGGATGAAATGAATTATTTGGGACTGTACCTGTCAAAATGGGACAGCTAGGGATATGCTTTTGTTGCGTGTCAGCTGTTCAATTTATCTAATAGTGAAGAAAGGATTACAACATAAACTGATTAAGGTTCTGGGTACTTTTTCCTTTGTGATTAGCAAAAAAGAGCCTCTGGTGGCTCAATGGGTTGGCAGGACTAGTGACTGACAGGTCAGCAGTTCAAATCTGGGGAGAGCAGGTTGAGCTCCCTCTGTCAGCTCCAACTCCCCATGTAGGGACATGAGGGAAGCCTCCCACAGGATGGTAAAACATCAAACATCCGGGGGTCCTCTGGGCAACATCCTTGTAGATGGCCTATTCTCTTACACCAAAATCGACTTGCAGTTTCTCAAGTTGCTCCTGACACAGAAAAAACAAACAAAACAAAAACAAAACTTATTGATAAATTATGAATTCCTTGCTAGTTATTTGGGTTCTTTTTTTCAGAACTGCGATTTCCACTTTGAGGAATTACTTTGTTATTTGATAGATGAGGAAAGCAAAATAAAACAATTGTTTTTAGAGATAGTTAGGGCTTTTTTTTTTTTGCATGAATGAGTTCTATGTGGCAAATTTCAGTGTTTCTCAACCTGGGGGTCGGGACCCCTAAGGGGGTCGCGAAGGGGTGTCAGAGGGGTTGCCAAAGACCATCAGAAAACACAGTATTTTCTGATGGCTATGGGGATTCCATGTGGGAAGTTTGAGCCAATTCCATCATTGGTGGAGTTCAGAATGTTCTTTGATTGTAATGAATTATAAATCCCAGTAACTACAACTCCCAAAAGTCAAGGTCTATTTTCCCCAGGCTCCACCAGTGTTCACGTTTGTGCATATTGATCTGGACTAAACTGTACCAAGTTTAGTCCAGATCCACCATTGCGTGAGTCCACAGTGCTCTCTGAATATAGATGAACTACAACTCCCAAACTCAAGGTCAATACTCACCAAACCCTTCCAGTGATTTCTGTTGGTCATGGGAGTTCTATGTGGCAAACTAAGTTACAAATCCATTGCTGGTGGAGTTCAGAATGCTCTTTGATTATAGGTGAACTATAAATCCCAGCAACTACAACTCCCAAATTACAAAATCAATCCTCCCCCAACCCCACTAGCATTTACATGTGGGTGCATTGGGTATTTGTGCCCAGTTTGGTCCAGTGAATGAAAATACATCTTGCATATCTGATATGTACATTATGATTTATAACAGTAGTAAAATGACTGTTATGAAGTAGCAACAAAAACAATGTTATTGTTGGGGGTCACCACAACATGAGGGACTGTATTAAGGGGTCACGGCATTAGGAAGGTTGAGAACCACTGGAGTATTTTATTTATTTATTTGTCTCACCTTTTATCTCTCTAGAAGAGACTCGGGATCTGTCAAGGCATCCGTTGGTAAAACAACATAACCTTATTTGCTCCCAATTCATGTTTACATTTCAGGAGCAAGATCTCATGATTCTGTATGGGAAAAATGAGCCACTCAAGAATTTCACCTTCTTGAACCACACTGAAGGCGGGCAACAGACTTGTTCGTTTGAATCTGCAGCTTGTCCAGGTTGGTTCATAGGTACGTCCACTGAGCCAAACAAGCCTGTTGGTTTGAGTCATAAAGGAGGTGCCGAGATCACCACGTTTTACTTTGAGAAAAAATAATGAACAAAGAGAACCATAATTAAATCTGGCAGTAAGGTTCTCACTTTTTCATACCAATCAATGCTGTATTTGCTTTTAAAAAACATTAAATGCAAGATACGACATACACATGAGAGTTGGTAAATGTAAAACCAAACCTCCAAGTAGAATCGTTGTCCAGAAACCCAGGTTTGTTCCTGATATGCCAATAGTTTCCAATTAGGACTTATAGATCAAACTGATGAAGGCTTGATGAAAATACATAATTCACATATTGGAAAATATATATTTGATGTAACCATATTAGAAATAGGAGTTAGAAAATATATAAGAGAAATGTATGTATGCATGCATGGCCTTCACTTCTCTTGACTTCTTAAAAGCTGCAAAATTAGAGAGGCCAGCATCTAGGAAAAGGAATGTCTAGAGGCCTGGCATATTTCAAGAGGCCCCATCTCGGTACCAGGCACCTTATCGTAAGACTAATGAGGTGTCCATTAAGAGGTTTCAGGAAGACCTTATCTTAGGATGAATGGAGACTCTTGCTATCAGGTCCGGTAGACATTCTGGCGATGGTCCTCATAAATAGCAACTCTTCAGATAGGGATGCTAATGAAGATTGACAAGATGTTGAGTTTGAAAATATGCTATTGAAGTCAATGTAAAAGTAGAATTTTGTGACGCACATTGTGATGTCTGTATGATGCATGCATAATTATTTTAAAAAGGTATATAAACCAAGGATTTCCTTTGTTCTGAACCCTTCTTTCCTGGCTTACCAGGAGGGTCCATATCCGGTTGGCGCCATCCGAGAATAAAGCCATGCTTTTCAGTTCCCAGGATCTCTCTTTGTCTCTTTTCCTCAAACCTTCTCCCTGCCATTTCAAAACATCACTTTTATTGCTTCAGTGATCAGCGAAAGATGCTAGGGGAGATCCCCAATTCTGGCATGCCTTCTGTTTACAGACATCAGCATTTTATAGACATTCAAAATAACAGATGTTTTTCTGATTGGTATAAATTATGCTCTGTGGTTTCATTGGTTTGATGCACCATCATTGTTGGCATGTTTTACAGCTTGTGATTGGCGGATATGTATGATGGGAACTTTAATAAAGTTTTTATTGCATAAAACCTGAGTCTGTTGCAGTGTTTGAATTTGTCTCCCTTTTTTTTATCAGGGGGCTTTCTAGGCAGAAAAATGGGTGCACCCAAAGGTGGTTGTGTTCGCTATCAGGTTGGAATGGCCCTTAGATTAGGGGATTTCCTAGTTCCATTGAGGAAGCAATGGGGAGACGGGCTGCGGTGATGTGCTTTGGGACCACTTTGGGTAGACTTCACTTTGTCCCTGTATGATCGGTGTGACGATTCGCGAAGATGAAACTAATTTGTGATTAGGCCACCAAGTTGTAAAGGTTTGTAAAGGAGCCACCACTCTGTAAGGGCTTATTACATTGATAGCATAACTTACAGCTAATAATATTGATTTGGTCTTTCTTCTGTGTAGCGTGACTTAACTTGGAAAGGAATTGTAACAGAGGCAAGGCTTTAGGAAAAACAGTAAGAAGTTTATTGAAATGTAGAAGGAGCGTGATGGTTTCAATGTTTCTCACTCTTAGAGGCACATATCTTCAAAGGTTACATTTATAACATTCCTTAAACAGCTCTGGAGAAGACTTTTCCTTCCACCAAACAGGTTTCAAACTTATTTTTCTTCAAACTGTGTTTCTTTCCTTAATAGGTTACTTCAGTTACAAGCTTATTCTTTCTTTGTGATGTTTCTGTTGCAATAGAGATTCTCATTGGGTTTCTCTCACCCTTTCTCTCATTCACTAACTATTAATATAATTAAGTCAAGTCGACTTATTTAAACTACTCAGGCTAAAAACCAAAACCTTCCTGATTCAGCCTTTACCTGTAGTTTTTAAACTAAAGATTACCTTCCTGGTTCTCACTACCAGAAAACCAGCCACTCCTGCAGCTCCCAGACTGCAGACTACTGTTTCTAAAATGGCTGCCCTGCCAAGTGACAGTTGGCTCCGCCCCTGTTTCCATGATAACCCAGCTCAACATGATCTGAGCTGGCTACCATCCCCCTTAGTTATGCAACATTAAATACTTACCCTTTAAAACATCTATCTATAATTATACATAACTGCAAGTTAAAAATTTACACTTTACCACAATCGGCTGTCGGTTAATTGATTACACTATCTAGTAAATATTGAAAAAAAATCAGTTCCTGGTTTCAAAATGTTTATTGTTGTTGTTTATTTGTTCAGTTGCTTCCGAATCTTCGTGACCTCATGGATCAGCCCACGCCAGAGCTCCCTATTGGCCATGGCCAGCCCCAGCTCCTTCAAAGTCAAGCTAGTCCCTTCAAGGATGCCATCCATCCATCTTGCCCTTGGTCGGCCACTCTTCATTTTTCCTTCCATTTCCCCCAGTATCATTGTCTTCGCTAAGTTTTCCTGTCTTCTCATTATGTGGCCAACGTACTTCAACTTTGCCTCTACTATCCTTCCCTCCAGTGAACTGTTGGGCTTTATTTCCTGAAGTATGGACTAGTTGGATCTTCTCGCTGTCCAATCCACTCTCAGAACTTTCCTCCAATACCACAGTACAAAAGCATATATCCTCCCTTGCTCAGCCTTCCTTATGGTCTAGCTCTCACATCCATACTTTACTATTGCTTTAACTACCGTATATTCCGGCATATAAGACAACTGGGCGTATAAGACGACCCCCAATTTTTTCAGTTAAAATATAGAGTTTGGGATATACTCGCCGTATAAGACCACCCCTCTTCCAATGCACACTAAATAAAAAAAATTAAAAATCAGATTTGAATTCAAGATGGTAATTTTAATTCAAATGCTTATGACATGCAGGTTCCCATGAGAGGGACATTGTACCTTACATTGTACATTACATTTGCTCTTTCTCCCTTGAATTTCATTTATACTCTGGGTCCTTTACATCATGCTGGCAATAAGTTAAAATAAACTGTTGCATGAAATAATTCTCATTTAAAGCAATTATAAAAACCAGCCAAGGTAAAGTGTCATATCAGTTCCCTTTTGCCTTTTCTCAGGCTTCTCCTATTGACACAGCCTAAAACAGCATTGGCCTTTTTAGCTGCAGCATCATACTACTGGCTCATGTTCGACAAAGATTCCTTTCACAGAATCCTAAAGTTGGGAGGGACCTCTAAAGGCCATTTAGTCCAACCCCCTTCATTCTGCCTTCTTGCGGGGAAAGCACAATCAAAGCACTCTCGACAAATGGCTATCTAGTCTTATTAATATTAATAATGGCGTTGGAAGGGAGCTCTAAAGGCCATCTAGTCCAACCCCCTTCATTCTGCCTTCATACAGGGAAAGCACACTCAAAGCAGCCCTGACAGATGGCCACCCAGCCTCAATAACAACAACAATAACATTAATACTAATAAAAGTTGGAAGATATCCTTTAGGCCAGTGGTTCTCAACCTTTCTAATGCCGTGACCCTTAAATAAAGTTCCTCATGTTGTTGTGACCCCCAACCACATTTTCGTTGCTACTTCATAACAGTAATTTTGCTACTGTTATGAAATGTAATGTAAATGTCTGATATGAAGGATGTATTTTCATTGTTACAAATTGAACATAATTAAAGCATAGTGATTAATCACAAAAACAATATGTTTGGGGGAGTGTGGGCAACGGATGATGGGATGTGAAGTACCTTCAACCGATGCAGCTCTGACTTCCAGAGACCACTGAGACACCCCTCCCCCCCCCGAAATACAGACCAGGACCAAACTTGGCACACAGAACCCTAATGACCAATAGAAAATACTGGAGGGGGTTGGGAGGAATTGATAGTGAATTATGGGAGAGGTAGTTCACCTACATCCAGAGAGCACTGTGAACCCAAATTACTATGGATCTGGACAGAACTTGGCACAAATACTCAGTATGCCCAAATCTGAAGACTGGTGGAGTTTGGGGGAAATAGACCTTGGCGTTTGGGAGTTGTTGGGATGTATAGTTCCCCAGCCATCAAAGAGCATTCTGAACTCCAACAATTAAATTGGACCAAACTTGGCCTGCAGGACTCTCACGACCAACAGAAAACACTGGAGAGATTTTGGGAAAATAGACCTTGGCATTTGGGACTTGGGGTGTTTAGTTCCCCAGCCATCAAAGAGCATTCTGAAATCCAACCACAATTAAATTGGACCAAACTTGAGTTGTGTGGAAGGGGACTGGGTTATCTGAGGCCCCTTCCATACAGCTGCATAAAATACACATTGAAGTGGATTATCTGGCAGTGTGGCCTCAGATAATCCAGTTCAAAGCAGATAATGTGGGATTTCATTCAGCTGTGTGGAAGGGGCCTGGGTTCTCTGGGTCCCCTTCCATACAGCTGCATAAAATACACACTGAAGTGGATTATCTGGCTGTGTGGACACAGATAATCCAGTTCAAAGCAGACAATGTGGGATTTCATTCAGCTGTGTGGAAGGGGACTGGGTTATCTGGGTCCCTGTTCCTTCGCTCTTTCGCTTGCCTTGCAACCTCTTCTCTTCCCTTCAGTCTCCTCTCACGCTGTTGCTTTCCCCATTCACCTCGCGCGGAGGCCATTGGCGAGAGCGCGAGGCAGGCGACAAGGGGCTTCTGGGACGGCAGGCGTCGCGCGGAGGCCTCCTGGCCTGCCTCGCTCTCTCGCCGATGGCGACGGTGCAAAGCAGGCCAGGAGGCCTCCGCGCGAGGCCTGGCATCGCGGAAGCTCTCCTCGCCTGCCTCATTCTCTCGCCGATGGCCATTGGCGAGAGAGCGGGGCGGGCGAGGAGGGCTTACACAACGCCAGGCCTCGCACGGAGGCCTCCTCGCCTACCTTGCACCCTCGCTATCGGCGAGAGAGCGGGGCAGGCGAAGGGCCAGACGCTCCATTGGCCTCAATTGGGTCCAGGAAGGAGAGAGGAAGCGTGAGGAAGGCGGCCCTCCGGCCTCCTTCCTCATGCTGCCTCTTTCCT